TACTGATACTTAAAAACGCATTTTTCAAAGACCAAATTCACTAAGTACATCATGAGAGCTCAATATATAAAAAACTAGGCCTATCAATTGCGATCAAAATAACCAATAATATCATACATATGTCAAATTAATGATATGTCAGACAAAGTTATATTAATCTAATACGTTTCGAATAACGTGTCCTAGGAAAAAGCTAACAAAAGAGTTTACAGTCATTAAAAATAGCCTACGCAAAGATGGATATCCGCTAAATGTCATCGAAAAGTTTGCTAGGACTAACGAACCGGCTAATTATGATACAGCTGAAAAGAAGACCTGTTTTATTAACCTTTGCTTCATAAGAAATCACCTTACTTGAATAATTAATTATGGAATAAATGTAGCCATAAAGATTAGGTATCCTGTAACTTCACCTTGAGCCCTCTGGAGCTACTGCCCATGGCAAGCCCGGATAAAGGAGGAGGGTTGGACATTGGGTTAGTAATCCAACCCCCTAGAAAAATAACTCTCTAGAATACATTAACCAGAAAAAATAATTCAAACTATTTAAACTCTGTCATGGGAGTTAGAAGGTCTTCATTTAGAAGAGTTGTTACGCCTCGTGGTGAAAGTCGAGTTCCTTCGGGAGTTACGAGGCTGATGCCCCTTCTCACAACCAGAGCAACTATTAATTTAAGTACATGGAATGTTCATACAATGTGAGAGACTAGGGGAGACATCCAAATCCCTGCAGGAATGAAAAGACACAACCTCGAGGTGTTCGGAATCAGCGAAACACATTGGACGCAGGTTGGACAACAACGACTAGCTTCAGTAGAGTTTCTGTTATACTCCAACCATGAAGAAAATGCCTCACATACACAAGGAGTTGCATTGATGCTATCCAAACAAGCACAGAATCCACTTATAGGATGGGAATCTCATGGACAAAGGAACATCGAATCCTCTTTCAAAACGATGAAAGAGGGCTTTACAATGAACGTCATTCAATGCTAGGCGCCTACCAACAATTACACTGAAGACTATAAAATTCAGTTCTACGATAGGCTGCAGTCAATCGTCGGGAAGTGTCCAACAAACTACCTGACCATTCTGATGTGAGATTTAACTACCAAGGTTGGAACGGATAACACTGGATACGAAGACATCATGGGATGACATGGATTGACTGAGAGAAAGGATTGAAAATGGGGAGAGCTTTGCAGACCTAAGTGTCTTCAATAGACTGGTCATAGGCGGAACTTTATTACCACACAAATGCATACACGAAACCACATGGACTCCACCAGATCACACTATACAGAACCGAATTGACCATATCTGCATCAATACAACGTTGAGATGGACGATTGAGAATGTGAGAACCGAGAAAGGAGCTGATATAGCATCAGATCGTGGCTTGCTGGTCGCCAAGATGAAACTGAACCTCAAGAATCACTGGAAGACGGGGTTAACAACATTACAAAAGTTCAATATGTCTTTTCTTCGAGATACTGACAGACTCAATCAATTCAAGATAGTCATCAAAAATAAATTCCAAGTCTTCACGATCCACTCACTGGAGAGGGAACCACCAAACTGAACAACTGGAAAGGGATCAAAGAACCAATCACTTCAGCACGTCAGGAGGTTCTGGGCCACAAGACAAGAAGCACCTTCGCAAGGAACGGATCACTGCTGGTACACTGGATGGGATCGAAGAAAGCAGGAGCAAGAAGGCAGCATTAAATAGCGGCCGAACAAGAGCAGAAAAAGTCAAGGCACAAGCTGAATACACAGAAGTAATCAAGCAAGTGAAGAGGGGCATTAGAGTCGACAAACGTAAATATGTGGAAGATCTAGCAATGATGGCGGAAAAGGCAGCAAGAAAAGGATAAATGAGACAATTGTATGATACAAAAAAAAGGATTGTTGGAAATTATCATAAACTGGAACGACTATGGAAAAGCAAGAAATGCAAAGTAATCACTAACATTGAAGAACAGCCATCAGACAAATCAAGAGTGGCTAAGCAGCAGGACCAGCTAACATTTCAGCTGAATATCTGGAAGCAGACGTGGCAGCAACTGCAAAGATACTCTACAATCTCTTCAGCATGATTTGGGATGAAGAACAAGTACCAACAGACTGGAAAGAAGGACTTCCGACCAAAATACCAAAATGAAATCAACTGAATGGAATTCATCACTCTACATCAACTTCATTGACCACGAAAAAGCATTTGATAGCGCGAACAGGACAACACTATGGAGGCTTCTTCGACACTATGGCATGCCTGAGAAGATAGTCAATATCATACGGAATTCCTATGATGGATTAAACTGCAAAATCGTACATGGGGGACAACTCACTGACTCATTCGAGGTAAAGACCGGTGTCAGGCAAGGTTGCTCACTCTCACCATTTATCTTCCTCCTGGTGTTTGACTGGATCATGAAGACGTCAACATGTGGGGGAAGCGCCAGATACAGTTAGGATGTAGCTGGACGATTTAGACTTCTCAGATGATCTGTCTCTTCTATCACACACTTAACAGAAAATGCAGGAGAAGACGACCAGTGTAGCAGCAGCCTCAGCAACGGTGGGTCTCAACATACACAAAGGGAAAAGCAAGATTCTCCGATACAATACAACATGCACCAATCGAATCGCACTTGATGGAGAAGCTTTGGATGATGTAAAATCCTTTGCATATCTAGGCAGCATCATTGATTTGCACGGTGGATTCGATACAGATGTGAAGATACGGATCGGCAAACCAAGAGCAGCTTCTTTACAACTGAATAACATCTGGAACTCAAAACAATTGTCAACCAACAACAAGATCAGAATTTTCAATACAAATGTCAAGACAGTTCTACTGCATGGGGCGGAGACGTGGAGAACCTGTATCAGAAGATACAGGTGTTTATTACCAGTTGTCTACGTAAAATACTTCGGATCCGTTGGCCAGACACCACCAGCAACAACCTTCTGTGGGAAAGATCAAACCAGATTCCATCCAGTGGAGGAAGAAATCAAGAAGAAGCGCTGAATTGGGTGGGACACACATTGAGGAAAGCACACAACTGCGTCACAAGACAAGTCCTCACATGAAATCCTGAATGTCGGAGGAGAAGGGGAAGACCAAAGAACACCCTATGCCGAGAAATGGAGACAGACATGAGAAGAATGAGCGAAAATTGGATAGAACTCGAAAGGAATGCCCTGGATAGCGTGTGTCGGAGAATTCTGGTCGGCGTCCTATGCTCCATTGGGAGCAACAGGTGTAAGCAAGTAACGAATTTGATCACTTTGTGTGAAACAAACTGCTTCTTAAAACGAACAGAAATCTACAGATCTTTACTATCTACCTCCAACTAACTTGATCACTTTACACGTACATCCAAAAACATTGACTTAAAATGACTGAGAGAAGAATACATGGTCACATTTCCACGCGTGATCCAAAGATTTTGTAACCTTAAAGTGCGACAGCTGTAAACAGTGCTCTAATTATGCATTTATTTGATAGATAAATAACACAGCTTCTTTACCTCTTACTGAAGCATTAGCGCTTGATAAAAGCAAAACCTGTTTATAGGTCCAAACAGAGACAGCAACTAATCACTGTTTTGGTAAATATACGTCTTTCAATAAAATCATGTGTAATTATCTTTGTTATAAAAACAGTATTGTTATTTTGTTCATTTTGTTATACGGTCTTTACCAAGTTAATTGTTCCCTCATCCACACTTAAGTTAATTTTTTAACATATCTGTTTTTCACTCGCCTGATTCTCAAAACTTTTCAAATCTACTACAGTCATGACATAATTCATCCTTTCCATTTCGAATTCTAGATAATTACAACCTCATCACTCTATGATATATGTGGTCTTTAAAAATTATCTTAAACCCATGTACACTCTTTAAATCTTTTATAATGACTACACAATTCCTTTCGTCAACTTCCCAACTCTATGTAATTACTACCTCACTCAGACTTTGTTTACTAATTCTATCCTATAATGACCTTGTGCGTGCTAATTCACACATACGTACGCATAGTCAGTACTGATTATCGTTGTTATTCTTATCTTTTCCGTTACCAAAGTCTATCACTCCGTAATTTATTGTGTGTTGGTGTTATCCTTTGATAGGTATACGATTGTAAACAACTGAAAAGAAACCATGAAACAAAATAAATCTATATTATTTTGCCTTATTTGTCATTTTGGCTTTATTGGTGACTACTTCATTAGTTCGATAATCGAAATATTATAGGCTGATATTGATCTATGGTCAGAAATATCTTTGGACTATTAGAATGAACCAGTGATATTCTTTCCACCTTTTACCAAACGTTTTCGTTAACAGATAACTGCTTATCAAATTCTAGCCAAACACATTAATCAGTTTAAATTTACTTAGCTTTCTTCGTTTGAATCTTCCCATTGATGATTAGGACTGCAACTGGTTAGTCACTTATTGGCATTTGTGCATACTGTGAGTATTGTCTCGATAAAATCTTAATTCGCAAGCATTATAAGCAAAGATGTAGTGAAATCCAGGACGCGCGTTTTGTCCATCTTTGCTTATAATGCTTGTGAATTAAGGCTATATCGAGACGATACGCACAGTATGCACATATGGCTAATAAGCGACTGACCAGTTGCGGTCCTAAACACCAATGGGAAGATTCAAACAAACAATACCAAGTGAATTTAAACTTCACCCCGTTGCACGAGCAAGTAGCTATCAGGACTCAGTGGCCGAGTGGATAACGCGATGGCGTTTGAAGCGAAAGGTACTGGGTTCGAGTTCCAGAAAGAACATCAACTCTGAGATGTAGATACATTCAGCTGAAGAGTCTCAAATAGGAGGAAACGCTCGTTCTGGATTCCACTGCTAGCCACTATCCATCTTTCCTTACATTAATTAGTTGATTAAAAATACGAAATGATGTTTGAAAAAAATAATCTACGAAGTAGTTGGAAATATTCAACATTTAAACTTGCAGAAGAAGTCGGTACTCATACGTTATATTTTGGAACTCGTTTCTCATATTTTCAAAAAAATAATTAGACTTTTAAACACAAAACGATACATACAGAAATATAAAAACCTTCAAACGCAATTTTTAAATGACATTTAAGTAAAAAAAAACTAAAAAATACAGAATAAACTTCAGTTATTGTTAGACTTTTGTTACTTTAAATCAAAAACGATAACTAATTCGATTGTTCTCGTAAATCATCATTGCTGTTAATACCATCATTTGATGTAATTAGACAATAGACAGTTAGTTATATAACATAATTTGCTTGAAATCCAAGATCATTACTGAAGAAAGCTAGTGAGGTATATTTAGGATTAAAAATTATTCAGAAAGGTATTTATCTGAAGTATATGCTACAAAATATTATTATCAGAATCATTTAGTACAATGTTTAAATCTTCAACAGACAAAAAACCTTAGCTCTTACAAACCGAATAGATTTTTACAAAAATTAGGGAATAAAGAAATTATGATAAGTGGACAAAACATGAGATGTACATACAAGAAAGTTCAAGGAATCGGATTCAAGTTATTTTCTAGTGAAGTTCTATTCAACGTTTTAAAATTGTGTTTTTCCTCCTTGTATGACATAACCCAGTCAAACATTCACGAAAGTTTCTATTCAAACCAACATATAAAAAGAAATTAGTTGTTGATGTAATTAAACATAGCATCTGACTAAAATGTTTATACAGAGCTGAATATGGTCGACATTTTACGCAAGATCTTGGTACAATCAGTTCCAAAATATGAACATACGCTAAAGCTTGAGGAATCTGACCGATAATAAACAAAAATATCACAGTCATCAATAGTATTGACAACTTGTTGTTCGCTTGTTGTGAACGCTCCAACCGTCTGTTTCTTAGAGAAATACGCTTCGTTGGAGTTGAACCGTTATTTCTGTGTATTGTAGTGTTGTCAACAATATCTTTTGAAATTGTTACTTGAGTTGTGAAATTGGAGATTGCTTGAGATTTTATTTGCAAATTATAAGGTATATCATTTACACTTTGGCAACTAATCTCAGTATTTTCGTCAATTCTTGATGTCAATGGGAGCGATGAACGTTTCATATAAATTTGTTGACTCAGTTGATGTGCTTTTTGATTATGATAACTAGACCATGTTAAACGTAGAAGCATAAAATTAACGATACACAATGTAATCAATGGGATACATTGAACACAGATAAACCGTATCCACGTAAACGTGTGATAGTATGTTGATTGTCCAAACCATGTTAATTTACTGTAATGAAAATGTCTTTTTGTATTATTAGGTCCTTGGACAACAGAAGTGTTAATTTTCAATGTAAAAAATAATGGAAAATTAAACACCACAGCTATACATACAGTGATAAACACTTGCCATTTCCCTTGATATCTTGCAAAATGTAACTTGCCTAAATGTGGCCATTTCATGATGATGTAACGTTCTGCTGATATTAACACAGTTATCCATACAGATGAAGCTTCAAGAATATTCCCTAATCCAAATCCAATATATGTTACGTAATATAACAATATAACCCTAAATTGTTTATATGTTTCTGTTTGACATATTCGAAGTTGCTTTCCACACCTATAAAATAATATAAGAACATGTTCATTTCATTAACAAATTAACTGTAAGTAATCAAGTATCATAGATACTAAAAACAATGGAATACAGTTTAATAGCAAGTTGGAAGAACGGTTACTTGTATTTTCAGTAAAATAACTTATTTAAAAGACACAGTACATGTTATTAGTTCTAAAATAAATATATCAGTCAGAAGTAAGCGATTGAATTCGTGGAATTTCGAAACATCAATGATAAACATGATTCTTTGTTCATGATATGCAACTCTTTATACCATAAATATTATACATGTACTTTTTAGGCTTCAAATAAACTATACAAGCAATCGTGTGTAGTTTTCTTTTTAGTACTTAGTTGGAGGAAATAAATTTTGATTAAGGAAATATGTATTAATTTCTCTTATAAGATTAGATAACTTTGAAAGCTTATCATTTTGATGTAATGATTGAAAAGTCAAAGTAGACTGGTGCAGACTAAACGCTTAATCAACAAAACAATGTTACTTGTATTTGAAGTTCAAGAATTATATTGGAGATAGTTGTATATGATCTTAATCATACAACGAACTGAATAAATGTATCCTCATTCTTTGTTCACATACATATCAATAAATTCTTAGGAAAATGCTGTGTCAGTTGAATAATAAAATAGGGAGCATATTAACCCATCTATCATCTAGTTCGGCTACTGATTGTAATTTTGTAATACGGTCCATAAAGTTCATGGAAATAAATTAACAAATTGTTGAATATAGTTGCTATTCTTGTAAGTTGGTAACTCTGAGAAAACTGCCACGCATGCTCAGTAATTAGATAATCTGTCTACTCACTGTGTTTTTCTCAAACTGAATTTCAAATGATTTCACGATGAATACGCTTGAAATGATAATTCAATGTATCCATGTTTAATTTTATAGTATTCACCAGCTGCATAAAATATAAAATATATTTACTTTTATCTGAGTAATATAATAGTCAGTCAAACTATTATTTAGGTAGTTGGCTATGTCTGCACCACAAAAAGTATTACTCAACAGACGCAAAAAAAACAGATCAAGCTTCATTTATAATTAATGAATTTATTTCGTGCCGATTGTCAAAAGAACAAAAAAATTGGCGGAACTATAATTTATGGACTAACTTTGAGCGACCCTAAAGTGACCTTGAAAATGTCCACCTTATAACTAGGATCAAACGAAAGTTGTAAACCAGTGTGAACAATTAGAAATATGATTTTCAGCTGATGGTTGGAGTTAGGAATTAGATCTACGGTTTTCTTCACGAATTGACACTAGCTAAAATGTAAAAACGCTATTTAGCCAAATGGATGAATGAATTCGGCACCAAAATCAAAGATCCGTTAACTTATACCTGATTAGTTTGTCCATAAATTATAGTCTCGCTGAAAAAGTATTTCCTGATTTTCTTACTTAAATACTATTGTATATGCATGGCTTTTATTCTACACCAAAATCAACATAATCCTTTTATTTTCAGCTAACAACTATGGACTTTTATGACATTAAGTTACATGGAAGAATAAAGTGACAAATAAACTATTTCTTCAATGTTTTGTATCTACATTATACAAATATTCTTATTGTATGACTATTCAGTAACTATATTATTTGCATGTTTCTATCTCTTTGATTATAAACTCTGATTTGACCTATTGACTATTGTCATACGACTTACAACATCACAAACATTATTTGGAGAAGTCACTATTGGATTTTTCATAACCGCTTAGACTGAGCTGCTTACAGTAATTAATCAGTAAACAATAAAGAATATCAATAGATTCGACAAAAAAGTGAAACTGTTTATCATATACATTCAACTTGGCACTTGGTATCAGTAACAGTATATATTAAATCTTGTTGAAAATGACCAAACAACATTAGATAGGTTACTAGTAAACAAGTCACAATTGTGAGGCTATATCAGACGTTAGATTAATGAAATGCTTGACAAAACTGTTTCATAAAAATTAGCATTAAGATTATTTTTATTAAACTTCTATTTATGGAGAGAATTATCATTCTATTTAATCCTTCTAAGTACAGGATCATAAAATAATTTCATAAGGAGATATAATATGAAATTTACAATACAAACAAATAAATTCATTTGTGAGGACACATAGGAAACTTATTCATGATTAAGTTCATTGTATAAAGTATCGATTTCCATTGTCTAATAATAAAGTATATACATTTGTGTTAGCCTAGGTTGAATGTAGATTAGAGAATACTGAATTTTAAAACAAAATAATATTTCAATAGGAAGAAAAAACATCTATGAGGCATGAGAAACATGTTGACTAGTTTATTAAATACATACCTTATATAATCTTGATGGCTAACTAAAGACAACAGCTATTATGATAAGTTCTATTCTCTAGTATAAATTCATTATTATTATTTTTCATATTTAATTCATAGCTTTCATTCTATTTGATGAATGAAGTTTTTAGTGTAAATATATAATGAGACAATTCTATTGAAACTTATAAAAACAACGTTGCCATTGAAACAAAACATTTAAGACAAACTGCTTAAGTATATATACATATACACAAACCCGCATATATTCAACGGAAGATACAGCATTCGAAAGGAATTATTATTTGGCTTCAGTGAAATTATTTTTATAAAATAAACTGAAGTATACTGTTAACAATAATCCAACTTATTCATCAACTCATATATAATTGAGGAAAAAATTCTCAATCTATTCAAAAAATAACACAATGTATGAATTCACAAACGGTAGTTGTCATTTTAATGATCTAGCTAAAACTAAGAAAGAGAGTGCTAACTAATCTATTATAAGCTGAAATTGTTTTAGATAACTCAACTCTGGAATAGGTGAGTATGGTAATTTATCGTTCTAATAGTTTAACTTAGACACTGTATAAGTTTATAGTACCAGATGCAACTAATCTTTCAACAATACGTGACTCTAAGTCTAAAAAGTGATCACGAGGATTTTAAAACCCTCTGCAATGTTCATCCTGTTATATGTACTAAAATGACATGTTAATGAGTGAAGTCAAATTCAGCATTTCATACAAAACAAATAGTATCAATTATAACAGGTACCATTTAAAATTACACATGATCGTAAGAGCACTTAAGATACCAAGTGTCTTTACTTGTATCAATGCGCGCTAATTACTGGAGATATGAAATAGACTTAAAAGGTATCAGCATAACGTACCATGTAGAGTCAAAGTACTGAAACATGAGGTTTAAATCAATCAACAAACTTTACGAACCACGTCTAATACCTAGATATATGTAAACATATTTGCTCAAACATATAATTGCGATGGACAACTTTTAAAAAAAAATAGTTAACGAAAATCCGAGTGATTATAAAGTTAACAAATTGTTTCCACAACTCCACAATAGCTTCAACAGAGCTCTCTTCAGTTTTTTGTAAGGTCTAATGATGTTTTACAAAATGACAATAGAGGTTACGTAACTAAAATAATGTAAAATTAGTAAGATCATCAGCATAAAATTATTAGTACTCATTTTATGCAAAATAATTGATTGGAGTTAATGTTAAACATTTTTAGTATAATATGGAATAATTCCATCAAATTATGAACATAAAAATGCAAATTTCTGAATGTAACAAAATCATAAACATGAAATAGATAACATTGATAAATAATGTAATAGAATGCTGTCAGTGCAACAAAATAAGCAGGGCAAGGTTCTTTATATTTTCTTAGATCTTAAACATTGACGTATAAAAGTTAAATAAAAAGTTTAACAATAAGTACAACGCAATGAATTTGACAATTACCATTAGACTGGATTATAATGTTACATATCAAAAATTCAGACGTTCAATTATCTTCCTAATGTCATGTTTAATGGATACCGAAGATGTATTCAGTAGTTTCTTTTTTGAATCGGTATCAGAATTAACTATTGAAAAGTAATTAGATGACAAGTAGCATTCTTTTAATGGTTGTTAGGTATAGAAGTAAGTGCAAGATTTATTAGTTACTATGATCCAATTCTCATCAGTTCCACTTGTTCCTAGTTCATTTAAATAGCAATGATGCTTTCAATTTATTCAAGATCTTAGATACATTCGATTTATCTATGATAAAAATGACATTTGAGCATTCATCAAGAACTACGATCCAAACTGATATTATTTATTTCAAGTTCAAGAGGATGACTATCTGGAGAAACATATCGAATCTTTAATTAGTATTATTTTTTAAAGGCATTAACTATGGTCCAATTAATTAGGTTTCGTTATTTCAACCAGAAAAAAGCTTGAAAAAAGCAATAGAATTTCTTTCATGACTTAAGATGTTGGATTTGCTGTGCTTTTTTATGTGACATATCAGTGGTGGTAAATTAGTCCATTTAGTTAGATAACTTGTTTTATTGTAACTGTTTAATATGGATTGACTGATATTGAATTTTCTCAAATGCATTTCCATAGCTATGGGAATTTCTCGCAAACGTTTTAAGAATATGTTTTAGATATAAACACGTTTCTAAGTAGTAAGTTAATTTAAATAAACAAAGTATAAATTCACATGGTTATATTTACCTAAATAAACACATGTTTTGTTTCAAGTAAAAGAAGGCTATCCTTATTTGATACTGTTGGGATGACCCTGCATTTTTCTCGCAAGCGACATAACTAGCTCAGGGGTCATCGAGGAGCACTTCAACCACTCAGCGATTAATTAGAAGTTATGTGAAGTTATGTTACTAAAATAACGATAATGGAAAAGTCACATGTGGAGATCCTGATTGGCTGATTTATACACTGCTACTATGTTTAGCAGTGTTCTAGAACTTTCAGTAAAACTCAAGGACTCTTAAATTACTATAAAATCCCCATATTTTCTGTACATAAGGGAACCCTGTAGTAAAGTGCTTCCCTCACACTTTGTGCCTTTTCTCTGGTCTTCAAGTCGCTGAGTAATTCTAGCTCGGGGGTATGGAACTAGCTTAGGGA